TTAACCCCGCCTCCTAGCTTCTTTTGTTAGTTGTCTAGTTACATACTTTGCCCATTTATATGTTAGGAAATAGGTATTTTCCTTGAATGTTTGATATAGTTCCTTTTATATTTTAGATGACAAAGGGTTTTTTTTTCAGTTATATTTGCTGCAAATATTTTTCTAATCTGTCTTTTTTTCTTTTCATGTTAGTTATGTTGTTTTGTGTTGTACTGGAAAAAAAAGCTGTTTATGTTATCAAATCCATCTGCTTTGTTCCTATTCATATCTTGCATTTGTTGAATCTTTCTCTAAAGTCCTATCCTGATGCCTCATCATGCTGAGGCTTTGATGTCAGGTTCTTAAAGGCAATGAAGCAAAGCACAGGTTCCTGCAGGTTTTTCCTATTGTTTACTCATTCAGTTGTGTCTCATTCTTTGTGACTCTTTATGGGGTTTTCTTGGTAAAGACAATGGAGTGGTTTGCCATTTCGTTCTCCAGTGGATTAGGCAAACAGATTAAGTGACTTGCCCAGGGTCACATGGCTAGTGAATGTCTGAGGCTGAATTTGAACTCAGATCTTCCTGACTCCAAGTCCAGTGTTCTTTCCACTGAGCCTCGTAGCTGCTTCGGATGAGGCCTGCAGGTCTTACCAAGGTAGAAATGTTTAAAGTATGGGACTGACAAAGGATTGGCCATTGATCTCCCTTGCTAAGTTCAAAGAGGTTAATCCCCAAATGATTTGCTTTTGGCTTACAACAATTTCATGAAACTATGAAGTGTAGAGAAAATACAATCTGCATCAGAAGATATTGTCCAGAAGAAATGGTGAGCTAGATGATCTTAGAAAAAGATAGACTTGCATGAAATAACGAACAGCAAAATGAACAGAACCAGGAGAACATAGTATACAGTAACAGCAATAACATTTTAAGAACAACTTTGAGCAACTAAGTCATTTTGACTATTATAAATACCCAAATTAACTACAAAGCTATCTGCATCCAGAAAAAGAACTGATAAATAGAAGTATGTGTAGAATGATTATATATATTTGTATATGTGTGTGTGTGTATACATAGACATGTGTGTATACATGTGTATACATAGAAACACATATTTGTGTCTAATGGAGCCATCTCAAGGGGAGGAAAGAAAAAAAGGAGAAAAAAAATTACATGATAACTTTTTTATCTATTTTAAAGGAATAACAAGTTGTACATAATAAATTATTGAAATACCAAAGGATTTGCTCTGTTTTATGGGTTACTATGGCCAAAGGATTCATCATCTATTGGCTAATGTTACTGGCCAACTCCATTCTTACCTAGACTGGTCTTTGGATAATGTTGTTCAGTCATTTTCAGTCTTGTCCGACTCTTTGTCACCCCATTTGGGGTTTTCTTGGCAAAGATTCTGGATTGGTTTGCCATTTCCTTCTGCAGCTCATTTTAAAGGTGCGGAACTGAAGTAAGCAGGATTAGGTGACTTGCTAGAGGTCACGGAGCTAGTAAATGACTGAGGCCAGATTTGAACTTAGGAAGATGAGTCTTCCTAACTCCAGACCTGACACTCTATCTACTGCACCATCTGTCTTTGAATAGTAGACACCATCTACTGCCAGAACCAAATCGGGGAGTTTTCCTGGCTTGTGCTTATACTCCACTGAGGTAGCCAGTTACTCAGTTAACAAGCATTAATTAAACGCCTCTATGTGATAAGCAGTGTCCTAGGCTGTGAGAATGCAAATATAAAGAACAAAACAAACCCTTCTTACAAGGGACTGATATTCTAATGGGAAAGGCAAGTGCATATATAAACAAATACAGGATCCTTCCTGTCACAGTGAGAAATTGGACTAGGACTTTGGTAAAAGTTTGTCTCCTTTCATAGTCGAGGTCAATATAGTATCCAATTTGCTTCTAACTTTTTTTATGTTTTCATTTATAATCAGTGTCATGCTTATTATGCTACCCTGCCTCTTAGTACCTAGTGCCAATAATAGTGATGATGATGGTATCTAAAATTTATAAATTATTTCCAATTTAGTTATATATTTTGATATATTCATATATTGAATCCATTTAATTATATAATAATTTAGTTATAATGTACATATATTATCTCATTTAATTTTCACAACAAACTTATGTGGTAAATTCTACTATGAGCGTTTTCATTTTATAGTCATTTTTTGATCACGTTGGACTCTTCATGACCCCATTTGGGGTTTTCTTGAAAGACACTGAAGCAGTTTGACATTTCCTTCTCCAGCTCATTTTACAGAGGAGAGAATTGAGGCAAACAGAGGTTAAGTGACTTGCCTGGGATTATACAGCTTGTGTCTGAGACAGAATTCAAACTTGGGTCTTTCTGATTCCCAAGTCCAGCTCTCTATCTGCTGTCTAGATACTATCTAGATACTCTATCTACTCTATCTACCAGCTAGTTAGCTGCCTAAAAAATCAGTAGAAAGGTCTTCAACATCATACACTGAAGACATTTTGATCTATTAAGGTAATGTAGAGTGTTGACTTTAATTTTTTGTAATGGAAATGGTAGAACAAGGCTAAATAAAACATGTAAATACACAGATTAGTCAAAGAAAATCTGCTTAGCTCATTTGAAAAACATTTATTAAGCACTTATCATGACAAGATATGATGCTTGCTACTATGGGTAGGTGTAAAGATGGTACCTCCACACAAAGAGCTTACAGGCTTGGACAATAGGAGCTTCAAAATAAGGCAGTCTATGATAAGTGTTGCCACTGGTACCACCAGTGATGCTATGAGGGTACAAAAGAGGGAGAGGTCACTTCAGTCCAGAGTGATCAAAAATGGATACCGGAAGGAGATGGCATTTGAGTTAGAGCTTAAAGAATGGATAAGATTTTGATCAGCAAAAGGTCAAAGTGGGAGGAGGCTTCTAGGCAGAGGAAATTACATGAGAAGAGATGCAGAAGCAGGGAAAAGGCAGGTATATTGACAAGTGAACCAATTTGATTAGAGCACAAAGTACATGTAAGGAAGTAATAGGAGATATGTAGATGGTGCAATGAATAGAGTGCTGGGCCTGGAGTCAAGAAGACTCCTTCCTGAGTTCAAATCCTGCCTCAGACACTTCCTAGCTGTATGACCCTGTTTGCCTCAGTTACCTTATCTGTAAAATGACCTGGAGAAGGAAAAGGCAAACTCTTCCAGTATGTTTGCCAAGAAAACCCAAAATGGGATCATGAAGAGTCACACATGACTGAAAAAATGACTGAACAACAACAAATGGAAAAGTAATTTGGTGCCTGATTGTGGATACCAGGATAATAACCTACATTTTTATAGCACATTTCAGTCTTCTAAGCACTTTCTTTTGCAGCTCTATGCAGAAGGCAGCAAGTATTGTTACTCATTTTATAGTTGAGGAAACTGACAGGGATTTTAAGTGACTTCTGCCTAATGAACACACAACTAGTAAATTGGTAGATTTGAACTCAGTTCTTTTGACTTCTGACCAGTGCTTTTACCACCATGCCATTCTCACCTGATGATTTTGGACTAAAGTTTGAAGACAGTGAGAATCCATGATTACACATTGGAGAATGGCCTGATCAAAGCAATGCTTTAGAAAAATTAAAGTTATCACAGTATGTAGGATGTTTTGAGGGGTTAGATACTTGGTCACCAGAATGATTTTTTTTTTCTTTCCTGTTCATAGTAAATTTGAAGTTTGAATTTTTTAACAGGGCCCTCTGGTGGTATTTCTTTAAAATCTAGCCCAAATGGACCCAATCAGGCCTGCCCTCACCCTTATCCTATTCCTCTTCATGGAATCCTGTTCTTTTGCTCAGCAGGTTGCAAGCATTTATTTTTAAATGTTTGAAAGATAAGCGATTATATGCCTTTGGACTAAATCTTAATGAAAAAGAGGTCTTTAAGATTAGCAATAACCTCAAAAGTCTTTTTGTCAGGTGAAAATTAGTTCACTAATACCTCCTGTCCATTTAAGAATTGTATTGATATCTTTTGTATTTATATGGCACATCTGTTTAAAAATTGATCCTTCTGTGTGGAGATCAGAGGTCACTGGAAACAATTATCTTAGATAATTTAACACTGAATTTTGGTAGAAGATTGCTATTATAATCTAGTGGCTTTTCATGCTTATATCAGATACTCTCCAAGTTATCAGGAGGGGATGACTTTGCACATGACAACATCATGTTGTTTGAGCTCCCATTTGCAATAAAGCATATGTGACGCTCCCCAGTATTCCTTATCTCCACCCAGAAGGATCAAGTTTTAAACATATGTGCCATATAAATACAAAAGATATCAATACATTTGACATCACATTGATTTCTGAATAAGTAATAGCTAGCATTTATGTAGTGATTTCAAGCTTTATAAAATCTTCATATATGTTAATTCTTCTGATCTTCACAACAACCTTATGAGGTCCTTGTTATGGCATTGTAGCCAGGGGCTCTTGTAATCTCAATTTTTCAGTTGGGGAAACTAAGGCTAGTGTTTGCGTCAGGATTTGAACCAAGTGCAATCTACTGTACCCCCAAGCTGATTCTGAATAAATCCCTTCCCCATCCCCAATAAATCATTCCTTCCTTATAACAAAGAAGAAGGAAGGAGTTATATTTCTCATTTTTTTGGTCCAAGCTCATTAAAATCACCCAATATTCAGCTTTGATTTTTTTTTGTTATTTCCATTTCCATTGTTGTATTTGTTATGTGTATTGTTTTTCTGGTTCTTCTCACTTCATTTGGCATTAGTTCATATAAATCTTCCCCTGCTTCTCTGAATTCTTTGTAATCATTATTTGTTATAGTATAGTAATATTTTATTAAAGTTATACAGCACAACTTGTCTGAATATTTCCCAATGATGCCTGCCATTTATTTTCATTATTGGTGGTAATAATATATCCAGTTAAAGTCTAATTTTCTATTTAACTGATTTATCTGTCTTCTTTCCCCATCTTCCCTTATCTTGTAATATGACTGCTGTGTCAGGATGCTGACATGCTAGCAGGAGAGGTGCAAGCTTGGAAGGAAGTTCAAGGTTCCTTGGAAAAAGTTGAAGATCTCCAGTCACAAGAAAGTATCCTTTCATCAAGAAGTCAGAATGAGTCTTTAGGTCTGTTTCTACTTCGATTTTACTCTTTTTTTTTTGTGACCTGTGGTTGATTACCTTGTGAGTGGTTATTAGGGGACTGGTACCTTGTCTCCTCTGTATTGTGAGGAGGTGCTACAAATGCATTCTTTTGAGGATAGATGGATAGGTGAATGGATAGATAGATAGAACATTTATTAAGCACTTAATACATGCCAGGCATTGTGCTAAGTGCTGAGACTATAAACATAAGCCAAAAAAAAAAAGAGACAGTTCCTGCTCTCAAAGAGCTTACATTCTAATAGAAGAAGATGGTATATAAGAGGGAGCTGGAAGGGGAGACCTGTAGGTAGACAAAGAGAAGTTCAGAGAGTCAGGAATAGAACTGAGAAAAAGTGAACAAGGATAACCTGGATGCTAGTGGTACTGGGCAGGAACCATCAGTTGGAGGAGAGGACCATGGTGGGGGGAGGGGAGTGCAGGGTTGGGGGGAAGAAGAGGCATTTCCAGTGTGAGAAGGCTGCTGACAAAGTGGAAAAGTCACACTGGAGATAAGGAATATTGCAGTGTCATATATGCTTTATTACAAATGGGAGCTGAAACAGCATGATATTACAATGTACAAAGTCGTCCCCTCCTGCTAACTTGGAAAGTATCTGATATTAGCATGAATATCCATGTAGATTATAATAGCAACCTTCTAACAAGATTCAGTGTAAAATTATCTAAGATAATTGTTTCCAGTGACCTCTGACCTCCACACAGAAGGATCACATTTTAAACAAATGTGCCATATGAATACAAAAATATTACATGATTGGTGTTTCCGGGATCAGTTATTTTGTTGGTGGCATGGTAACTCCCTGCTCTCCACCCCGCCTTCAATGTAACTTAATAGATGAGTCTTAGAGTTGGTCGAGGACCCTCAGAAAAGCTGACTTCCGTCTAGTCATTGCTAGTAAGTGTTAGAGGCTGAGATTTAAAACTAGGACTTCCTCACTTCAAATCCTACAACCTGGCTACAATGCCATACTAGTTCTGTATTGCCTGGTCATTTTCTTCTAAACAGTCCATCCTTGCAGGGGATCAGTCATTTACCTCAGAGGTAAGGGTAGATTTATATGTATGTGACTTAGGCACCTATAATTCAAGGACCTTTACCAACCTGCCAAGTTGCTTGAAATTCCCAATACAAAGACTACTTATTTGGTTTAAGGCACTGTGCTTCCAGAAGGCCCCTGTTAAAAATAAACATGCTACCAAGATATGGTAATAATATGTACATCATACTAAAGCATGAAATAATTCGCTGGATAGGCTAGCTGTCACTTTGGGAAGAAAAGTCCAAAGGAAATGGAATATAATATGGGTAAATTTTGATTGGGTAAGAGAATAAAAAGGTCTGGAGTCAGCTTGCACAAAGCCTCATCTGTGGGATTTTGGTGTTCTGCATAATGTAGAAAGGGGCTCTATGATACAATATAAGTGCTATCAGTCTTTCCCCCCTTAAATATGAAATTGTCACAGTATTGTATGTTTTTCCATATAAAAGCAGGCAGTCAGCAACCTTTTAAAATATTTCTTCTGTGCCTTAATTTCATAAAGTTTGCTCCCCCCTCAAATTCTCTAATCTATCTTTATCTCAGAAGTACACCTAGGGTTTGCTGGAGCCATTTCATAGGGACTTATAGGAACTGATAATTAAATTTTCAATGTGAGCATTTATAACTTAAATTGAGAAACATTATGAATCTGGGCTTGATTTATTGTTTTGTTGATTGTCTAGACATACGAAAGTGATGGGGAAAATGTTAATTAATAATGCAGATGAAACTTAATAGAGAGTTGTTTGGACATTTTCTTTCAGAGAGCCAGTTGTTAAACATTTACGAGCATGCCACCATGCATACCCTTTCTAATATTTATTAGTCATTACTGTAATTCCAGTTCTCAAATATATCATAACCAAAATAGTTTCAGAAATTCTGTCCCAGTGGCCAAATCTTGTCTCCTTTCACACAAGCCTCCTCTATATTCTCTTCTAGATGTCACTTACATAGCAATCACCCTCATTCAGATACTCATCATTTCTCACACAGACTATTTCAGTAGCTTTTTAATTGTCTCCCCACCTCAAGTCCATCCCCATTCCAATCTGCTTGGTTGCCAAAGTGATCTTCCCAAAGCATAGGTCTGACCATGCTCTCCTACCCCCAAATAAACTCCAGGGACTCCCATCACCTCCAGGTTCAAATGAAAAAACACATCTTCCACCAATTAAAATTCTTCACAACCTCATGCCCCTTCCTGCCTTTCTGGTCTTGTTACGCTTTACCAGTCTAGATACTGTAGCATCCACCTGCAAGTGAGATAATATGGGGGAAAGTGCTTTGTAAATCTCAAAGTAATATGTAAATGCTAGATATCGTAATTGTTGCTGCTGTTATAGTTGCTGTTAGAGTAAACATTTAGTAAATGCTTGTTGACTGATGGGTGCTGTCCAAAAAGGAGAGAGCTAGACTGGGAGATGGCCCCAGGGAAAGGGGACCTTGGATACTGAAGAACAGTGGTAACATTTGGCACCTGCCTAAGGGAATGAAAGATAAACCCAGTCTTGCGAATGATTTTACCTAGGCCTGGCCCTGCTCATAGCAGTAATAAAAGACATAAAATCATGGTTGTGTGCTATATTTCAGTGATAAATTTGCTAGCCCTGGGCAATGGGCAAGCTGCTACATTCAAGGCTGGTGTCTATGCTCCTCCAGTCTGGCCCTTTTGAAAACATAGATAACAATCACTGGTGCTCCTGTGGCCATTCTCCTTGGAGAGAATCAGAGAACTTTACAACCAGGGCCTCATTAATACTGAGACTCTGGCTTTGAAATGGGTGGGGAACAGGCAATGGAAACCTTTTAAAGATGGGAAAAAACTGAAGCTTAGGGAGGTTAGTCTTAAAATGGGAATGTTCCTATTTGATGTCAGTACAGCCTTGGGGCAGCAATGCTTTACAATCAAACTCCTAAAAATAAGTTGTGATATAATGAATCTCCCTGTAATAGGTATATGTGGGAGGCATGGGGTGTGGGGGGCCCAGCAACACCTGGTAGGAGAGAAGTCTGTTGAGAGGCTTGCTCCTGTAGCCTTTTGTCACAGTATATAAAGGCCTGTAGGCATTATTTATGTGCTTACATTTCTGAAAAGACAGTGTTTAAATATATATTTCATATGGCCTGCTTTCCCTGATTGCTTAATCTTACTTGAAAGAAACCTGCTTTCATAGATATCCTAGGTTTGGGTGTCATGTTAACTGGTAAAATTTGCCAGTGTGGACTTCTCCATTAAGATAGAATTCCCCAAAATCTTCTGTCCCCCTAAGCCCTCATTTTAACAGATTGGACAAAGTAAATGTTGATGAAATTGTTTGAAAGTGAACTCAATTTGCAAAGATTCCCAGACTTCTTCGTTTCTTAAAATGTCTGCCTTCCTTCAGGGTTTAAGGTCAAGTGATAAAGTAAATGTTGGTGAAGTGTTTTGAAAGTGAATTTAGTATGCAAAGATCTCCAGACTTCTTCATTTCTTAAAATGTCTGCCTTCCTTCAAGGTTCAGGGCAAGCATAACCTTCTAAATACTTTTTCTGCCCCCCACCCCGTTGTTAGACCCATCCTACTTCCTCCTATATTACTTTGTGTGTCTATATTCTTTATTTTTATTTATCCATTTACAAGTTGCTTTCCTCAGTAGACTATAAGGCTTTTGAAGGTAAGGGTTGTTTTTGTCTTTACGTTTCCAGTACCTAGTGCAATGCCTAAAACATTGTAGGCTCTTAAAATACTAGTTGAATGGATGGATGAATCTATTAGAACAGGAGTGTGATGAAAGGATGGCTCTGGTCTACAAGATGTAGCATAAGGATATATTGTTATATCCTTTCATCTTTCATCTCCTGCCCCTTCCCTTTTCTAGTAAAATGTAATAACCAGAGGCTTGGTTCCGTGATGGTTTGTTGATTGTAAACAGAATTCATGGCGCTAAGGTGCCACTTAGATGTTTTTTGTTTTTCAAGTATGTTTTCCAGCAGCTCATCTGTGCAGGATAATGGGAGCTTCCTTTCTGTTAGTGCCCTGGAGCTTTTCAGCCTTTTAGAGTATCTTTTTTTTAAATTTGTATTTTTTTTTCCTTGATGAAGATGAGGGATCCTTAACTAAGGTTAATAACAGAGTGGGACCAGGTTCTGGCTATATGCCAGACTCTTATAAATAACTATGGAGATCGTCTCCCAGACAGAAACATCTATCAGCTAAAGATGTTGGACTGCGCAATGGATGCCTGTATTAATCTTGGTCTGTGGGAGGATGCTTTGCTCTATGGAAGCCGAACCCTGGAACCATACAGGTAAGATCTGTGAAGGGAACAGTTTGTCTGCTGCCCCGAATAGAATAAGCCAACTGAGTAAAGGCCACAATTCCAAACCTGAGACCAGTTAATGAAGAGTTCTTTCTATGTGACTCCTAAACCCATTTGAAAAGGTTATTTAATTCTGAGTTTCCCATTGTGTGTCCTTAGTTAACAGAAGATGAAATCACATTCTCTGCTAAGAGAAACACTATAATTATGTCCAAAAAAGCATTCATTATCTTAAAAAAATAAATAACTCCTCCCTACTTCTTAACTATTTCTGCAGAGGGTATCACCATCCTTCCACTTTTCACAGGGTCACAACCTCTTAATCATCCCTGACTTTTCACTCTCCCTCACCCCTATATTTAATCATTTGTCAAATCTTATCGATTCAGTCCCCAGTGCCTCTCTCATGTTCATCCCCTTCTCACCTCAGAGGACCACGGTCCTATTTCAGGCCCTTGTTACCTCCCACCTGAAATATTGCAGTAGGTTCTTAATTAAGTTCCTTGCTTCCAGTGTCTTCCCTTTTGATTGATCCTTCACAAAGCTGCCAAACTATATTTGTAAAACAAAGGTCTGACCCAGGAAGCCTCAATGATGCCTTCTTGCTCCTAGGACAAAATACAGACCTCATATATTTTGGTTTTTCAAGCCCTTCACAATCTGGCTCCCACATACCTACCCTTCCAGGCTTCTTACGTTACACATTACTCTCCTTCATTCTACATTTCAAACTGGCCTATGTTTCCCAAACACCACGTTTTATCACCCACCTCTCTTGCTTTGCACAGGCTGTCACTTCCATAGAACAAAGCCTCCTAGAGGCTTAGAACAATCTCTATCTTCCTTAAAGGTTCAACTCAAGTGCCACTCTTACAGGAAGTCTGTTTTGATTCCTACCATCTCCCTACCCACCCCATTTGCTTGTAACTACCTCTTGGAAATAACTTTGTATAGTCAGTTCTACTATAATCCCACATGTATATTCCTCCCAAAAAATGACTGTACAAAATTACACAATAAAAACCACAAGGTTTATGGGAAAAAGTGGAGTTAGGGACGCAGTGCTTAAAAACTTCATTAATGACACATAACATAAAAGGCAGGAACCTAATAAAAAATGTTGGCAGTTTTATACTTGTTAAATAAGAAATACAAAAATACTACAATAAATAGTGATGGTGTTCATTGCCTTAGACTACTGCTTAGCCTGCACACCAGTTCTGGCAAAGTCTCTCACAAGTTGACCAGGCCATAACTCCAAACGTTGAGGCCAGAAGCCATAGTGGGAAGTGGAAGGGGGGAAGAATGGAAGAGAAGGGGAGGGACCAACCCTCCTCTGCCCAGAGTTCCTGTAGCAGAAAATATATAAGAAATATGACGCTCTGCCTTGACAAAGACCTGAAGTTGCCTTGTGGAAGTGGACATCAGAAGGGTCCCAGCTTGTGAGTTATTGTGAAATGGTACAGTTTTCTGCATTCTCCCTGTTTTTCCAGGAAGAAATTACTCACCACCAAGCTCAAAATTCATGTTATACTCCAAATGTTTCCTAATATAATAATTGCATTGGAACAAATTTGTGTTTTCAGAGTGAGTGTTCTAGCTGAACTGACTTATGTACTTTTTATGTATTTTTCTGTAAATGTGTTACTAATCCCAAATAAAACATATGCTGCCTTGAGGGCAGGGCCCTCAAGTCAGTATCCTCAATGCCTCCACGTAATCAGGCATTTATAATTATAGCTTAGATGAACCTAACTATAATGAACTTGATAAGCTCTTTCTTTCTCCCTCCTCCTCCCATATGTAAATATGTGTATATTCATATATGTATACATATACATACATGTATTATTGTGTGTGTATATATAAATATGTGTGTATATCCATTTCCCTTGCACTGACATCTCAGTCTCATGGCCATCTTATAGGCTCACAGCCCAGTAAGTTTGTGTGTATATACATACATATATAAAATGTGTGTGTAAAATACATACACATGCTCATGGAAATGTGAGCCTATGAGATAGACATGGGACTGGGATATAAATCTAAGGGAAAGATATATAGATATAGATATAGATATAGATATAGATATAGATATAGATATAGATATAGATATATACACAATATACATGTACTGTAAGCTCAAGTCAGGTTGAGGTTGACTTATAACTCAGGATCCAGAAAGTTGCTCGAGGCAGAGGTGGGCCGACAGAAAGCAAAGGGCTATGCCAGTAAGCCAGGTGTAAAACCAGAAGTTTGGCACAGATGACAAAGAAATGGTGGACAACCAAAGTCCAAATGGGTGGTATGATGGCAAGGGCCCAGTGGTCAGGCAGATGGTAGAAATCCAATTGGGCAGAAGACTATAGGTATCCAGATGGATAGACAGATTTCCAATAGTCAGGTGATAGCATCAGAAAGATTCAGTAGCAGGTGTCAGGAAGTCAGATATGTGGAATCTAAATAATCAGGGTCAGAGGTCAGGAACCAGAAAACTCAGACACAAGGCCAGCTTGTGAGAAACTGAGTCTGAAGGGTTAAAAAGCCAGCCAATGAGAGACCGAGTCACCGGAGTTGGAGAACAACCAGCAGCAAGATTCATTTGGTCTTTCAACATCCTTCTGTATTCATAATCTTCTTTTCATGATTTTTTTTTGGTTTGTTTTGTTTTGTCTTTTTTAGGTGATTGGGGTTAAGTGACTTGCCCAGGGTCACACAGCTAATAAGTGTCAAGTGTTTGGTCTGAAGCTGGATTTGAACTCAGGCCCTCTGATTTCAGGGCCGGTGCTTTATCCACTGTGCCACCTAGCTGCACCAAATATGATTGTTTTTGCAGCCTGTTTTTATAATCTGCATCATACTTGAAACATACATGATATTGGAGTACTGCAGGAATTCTATGAATATATGATAGAGGATCTAGGGATGGGATACACTTTTGGTATCTTGGCATATTAGGTAGCATTTTGAATCATAGCTCAGTTTTGCCAATAATAATAGCAGCTAGCATTTATGTAGAACTTTAAGGCTTAGAAAAGCTTGGCAAGGATCTTATTTTGTCCTCAAAACAACCCCAGAAGTTTGACACTATTATCACCCCCATTTTACAGATGTGCTCAATGTAGCCATATTTTCTACTGCTCCATCTCCTCTCCTGTGCCTGGCACCCACAGCTAGATTATGCTTTTCTAGTGGCAGATACTTTACCAGCAGGTAAGACAATCAGGCATAGAGGTAGTTTACAGGAGAACTACCTTCAGTGGTAGATTTCACGGCTTGATAAATGAATTACCTTGATCTGTGAACTGAATGAAGTGGCACCAAGCTGATAAGAAACTATAAACTCCTTCAAGGTTGGGAATTGTATGTTTCCCATGTGTAATAGAATGTTTAGTTATTCCAATGTAATGCACCTTGTAAATACTTAGTAGCTATTAAGTGAATGACAAAGTAAAGCTCCTTTATTAGACTATAACCTCCTTGAGGGTAGGGATTGTGTCATGTTTCCCTTTTGTATCTCTAATACCTTACACCTAGTAAGCACATAATAATGCTTTGCTGTTACTTATCTCTACTCTGGGGCAGCTACAGGGATCAGAGGTTGGAGTGCTGGAGTCAGGAAGACCTTAGTTCACCTCTGGCCTCACATACTTACTAACTGTGTGACCTTGGGCAAGTCACTTAATCTCTGTTTGCCTAAGAGGCAGTTAGGTGGCTCAGTGGATAGAGTGTTGGGCCGGGAGTGAGGAAGACCTGATTTCAAATGTGGCCTCAGACACTTACCAACTATGTGACCCTGGTCAAATTGCTTAACCTTATTTAACCTTAGATTTATGCTTAACCTTATATTTGCCTTAATCCACTGGAGAAGGAAATGGCAACCACTGCAGTATCTTTGCCAGGAAATCTCCATGGACAGTCTGGTGCACAGAGTCACAGAGTTGGAAATTACTAATGACAGAGCAACAGCAACAAAATCTCTGCTGTAGAGGTCAATGTTAGCAACCCAAAGGGCATGTCTAAGCCAAACCATAGGCTTGTGGGCGACGCAAGGAATCAGAGTGAGGAAAATGCTTGTAAAGATAAATGCAGGGTTCTCTTGCCTGTTGCTCTAGATTTGACTTCCTTAGAACTATGTTGACTTGATACTTCCTCTCTGTCTCTTTTTCTCCCGTTTTCATTTTAGGTTTTTTGGTTACATCAACTTCTAATCTGTGTTAAAAAGCAAACAAACAAACTTTCTCCATTTGCTTAGAACCAAAGAGCAGCTGGTCTTTCTTTAATAACCTCTAGCTCCAGAACACCTCAATGAATCAGTAAACATTTATAAGCAACTACTATGTGTCAGGCACTGTGCTAAGCACTGGGGATACAAGAAGAGGCAAAAGACAATTCTTGCCTTCAAAGAGCTTAAAGTCTAATAGGGGAGATAACATACAAGTAAATATACACAAAACAAGCTCTATGTAGGATAAATAGGAAATAATAGAGAGAAGACACTGGAATTAACAGAGGTTAGAGAAGGCTTTCTGTAAAAGATGGGATTTTAGTTGGGACCTACAGGAAGCCAGGGAGGTCAGTAGGAGGAGCAGAGGAGGGAGAGCATTGCAGGGAAGGGGTCTCTGATCGAGAAGGGTATGTCTCTCCTACCATAAATGTTACCTGGAGAATTGGATCATAGACATAAAGGATCATAGCTTTAGTGCTGGAAGGAACCTCGCACACCATCTATCCCAAGCCATTCGTTTTATAAGTGAGGGAACTAAGACCCGGAAAAGGTTCAGTGACTTGTCCAGGGTCACACAGGATTGTAAGGTCAGAGGCATAATTTGACTATATATATGTATATATTGTTTTTCTCTAAACTTAGCATCTGAACATTTGAAAAGCAGTGAAATAAAAGCCAGAGGGCTTCCTACCCAGCCCCGAATGACCAGCATAATCTTATATTCACTACCTTCAGAATGTGGTTCACATACCTACAG